GATCTATTGATTACTCATTAGTAAATCAAGTAGGACTTCGTCAAATCTCTGGAAAAAAAAAATTCTCGCAACAAATATCTGAAAATTTCTGATAATTGCATTTCGTTTTACCTGAAATTTCTGATATTAGTATTTCGTTTTCACGCAACAAATATCTGAAAATTTCTGATAATCGCATTTCGTTTTATCTGAAAATTCTTGATAGTAGCATTTCGTTTCTCTGATATTTGCATACATAGCTGAAAATTTCTGATGTTAACATTTCGTTTTCTAGGCATATTAGGATGACGATAGACGTGGTCATATTCTCGGAAACCGGATTTATTCTTTTGTGAAAATCGAATCTCCATTCTATCTCGCAAATTTTTTTGAGAACCGAAATCTTGCGAAGCCTACCAGCATTTCGTTAGGCAGATTAGGAGGTTGCCATATTCTCAAAAACTGGATTTTGTTCTTTTCTGAAAATCGCATCTCTACTCTATTTTGCAAATTTTTTTTTTTCAAGATCGCATTGTTGTGAAAGCCGAAACTTTGCGGAACCTAGCCTAGATCTCACTCATAGTACTCTTCTCACATGCCTCACTCATAACAGATCGACAAATATACAAAAAAAAAAAAAGGGAAAGTAGTCCTCTTTTTATTTTTTTATTTTTTTATCTGTTGATTAGGGCCGGGAGGAAAGTATTGTTGGGTTGGTTACCTACCTGCGTTTTCCCTCCAACCCCCCGCTTTGCATGCATTTCCGGGTTGGTACACTGCCACGTCAACAGTGTCACGTCAGCAGTGCCACGTCAGCAACAGTGCCACGTCAGCAGTGCCACATCAGCAACAGTGCCACGTCAGCAGTGCCACGTCAGCAACAGTGCCCCGCCACCATGACGGGCTCAGCTCTGGGCATGCCAGGCCAACTGGCCRACGAGTCCATTGCTGAGTACAAACAGCGGTTCCAGATTCAGCTCGCACTGATCGAGGCTGAGGAACAGCGCCAGGTGGCAGCCGAGGCTGTCCACCTACAGGCTGAAGCGGCGGCAACAGCTGAGAAGCAGCGGCTCCAGGCCGAAGCAGACGCAGATACCCAGGCTCGCCGCAAGGAAGCCCAGGATCTGCTACAGCGGCATGAAGTCGCCAGCATCGAAAAACTCAAGTTTTGGCACTTTGAACCATCCGAGGAGCAACGACGACACGACACTGGAGGAACAGCACAAGGAATTCATGGCCAAACTCGTGACTCGGTTGGTTTACACTTGTAACCACCTGCAGTTCGAGCTGGCGAACCTCCAGCGGGCCGTGCGGAACCACAAGGCTCAGCACGAGGATGCAGCACGGGCACTTGACTCCTGTGTACAGGACTTGGAGCAAACTGCACCAAGACCGGAGGCTGGCGAGTCGAGCAGTGCACCCTCTGCCCGCCAACTGGAGGAACGCGTCGATCACGTAGTGGCAATGCTAGGTGATATTAGCACCTTCGTAGCGCCAGACACCATCAGCCAACAGTTGGACACACTGAAGACCAAGATCAGGCAGCGACAACAGCCGCCTGACCTCGATCGCAGCACCAGCACGGCGAAGCATTACAAGATGCCGACGTTCCGGATCGAGAAGTTTGATGATTACACACATCAAGACCCGGTCGTCTCGTGGCAAGAATTCACAACGGAGTTGGGGATTCATGAGGTCCCCGAACATCTGTTCATCGGCGCACTGTTCTTTAACGCTAGGGGAGGATGTCAGATCTGGCTCATCCATATGGCAACCGTCCACGGCGTCCAGGTCTTCGACCTACACAAGGTCTCCTGGGAGGATCTGACAAAAGAATGGAAGAAGCGGTTCATCGTGGACGACGCCCCGGCGCTCTCCATCAACCGCATCTTCACGATGGCTCAAGGAAATACAGCGACACGTTGTGAGGAAACCCAGGGAGGGGCTCCTACCGCTCGCTGAAGCCAGAAGCAACGCCGCCTGTCACTCGGCGCGCCCACTTCCGAGGTCCTCAGCGGCAGATAGGGTGTTGGGGSTTATTATCTCCTGTTTTCCCTGCCCGCAGAAGCGCTTTAATCTAGCGTTATCAGATCATAATTCTCTTGAGTAATTTTGTTCAATGAGCGCTTCCCCCTTTTCTGGAGTCAGAGCCAGATGTAGATTGGGCCTGATCATGAGGGTTATCTGTTTTGACTCTAACAAGTTCGGTTTTAAAAGGGATAGTGGTCCAATCAGGCGAGTCGATTTCCAGAGAATAAACAGTCCCTTCAGCACGCTTAATTACTAGTAAGCTAGAGAGTCAAATCAGCAGGCTCGATCAGATGTCGAGCGGAGCAATCAACAGGTCCGATTTTATAAGAGCAAACGGACCACTCAATAGGCTTGACTTGCAGGAAGCCAGCGAGCCAAATCAACAGGCTCCATTACATGCCCAGCGGACCAATCTACAGGTCCGATTTTTGGAGAGCCAACCGAACCAATCAATATGCTCAATTTGTAGAGAGTCAACGAGCAAAATCATCAGGCTCGATCATACGGTCAGCACACCAATCAACAGGTCTGATTTTTAGAGAGCCAACRGACCACTTAATAGGGCTGAATTTGTAGTGACCCAGCGAGTCAAATCAACAGGCTCCATTGCATGGCCAGCGGATCATTCAACAGGTCTGATTTTTGGAGAGCCAACGGACCACTTAATAGGCTGAATTTGTAGTGAGCCAGCGAGCCAAATCAACAGGCTCCATTAGATGGCCAGCGGATCATTCAACAGGTCTGATTTTTGGAGAGCCAACGGACCACTTAATAGGCTGAATTTGTAGTGAGGCAGCGAGCCAAATCAACAGGCTCCATTAGATGGCCAGCAGGCCAATCAACAAGTCTGCTCTTTGGAGAGCCAACGGACCACTTAATAGGCTTAAT